TTATGGTGCTTAAATACTCAATAAATATGGATATTGAAAATATTTTCATTTTAAAAATTTGTTTAATGGTTAAGATAAAGACACGTTGTGATTTATTAAAACGATGAAAATATAATAAAATGAAAAAGGAAACGATAAAGGAACAACAAAATTGACACACACAAAAAATAAATTCACATAATTAAATTATAAATTTAATGCTTAATAAAAAATTGTTGGTATTTTGGAGAATTGGAAGCTTAAATCGTGTACTTTAGGTGATTTTGGACAAGATTTAGAGATTAGGTAAGGATTTGAACCAATATGAACCATTAAGTGGCTAAGAAGAAGGTTCATTTAGGATTTGAACCTTTTGAATATAAATTCGCTACTTAAACTTAAAACTCTACTTTTAGAGCTATCAAAACCTTGCTAAACTCCCATTTTAAACACCCAACCCAACCCATTGAGCTCATGCCACAACACATTAAAGATTCTTCATCATCATCATCGCTCAACTTTTCCAACTATGACTATGTATCAAATGTCTATCATGGCATAAAATATGAAGTTTAATATTCATAAGGAACAAGAAGCCATAAGACAGATAAAAATTGACAATGTATACATAATAAATATTAAATGACTTGTAATAAATATTCTTCCATTTTTTTCGGGGCGTTGAGGTTACTGTAGAAAGAACAAAGTTTCGAATTAACGGTTAACATAAATGTATCATTTTTGAATGAGCAGTCATGAGTAGAGGAGTAAATCCAATAGAAATTTAAGTCAAGAGCATCATAAATTTAATTTTTTTTTCAACTATGAAATAAAAAATATTGTGAGAAAATAAAAACGAGAAGTTGAAAATTTATTCGTATATCTTTTTTTTTTTTGGTAAGATTCCTAGTCAGGTAAAGTCTACGAGACAATTTTATTTTAAAGAAATATTTTTTATTTTCTAAAACTGTCACTTGGATGGAAAAAAATGTGTCTCTTAAGCCGCAGCAAAATTATTATTTTTTTTCCTTCAGACTTTTTTTCATGTTTTCTGCTTTGTCACATCTTCTGGTAACATTTTGGCTCAAGAATTTTTTTTGTGTCTTGTGTAGAAGCACACAAATATTTTACTGCTCGTGGTCAACAAGACATTGTTATGGCCAAAAAATACAATTTAATTAGAATCGAGAAGAATGAAGGAACAGGAGAGAGATTGAGAATTGTTTTTAAAGAAAGTGTCTGAAGCGCATCTTGTAAAAATTGATTTGATAGATTCTAGATTTTACTAGTTTTTTAAAAGTTTAGAAATTTGTTTTTAACGATTTCAGAAAATTTGAAAAACAAACTTTTGTTCAAATCAAAATTTAACGACATTAAGATTTGAAAAATTAAAGTTCGAAAGTTTTCGAAAATAAATTAGAAAATTCGAAAATCAACAAAATCATTTCATGTTACCAAACCGAGTCATTAATCATTAAAAACAATGCTAAGTATTCCCTGTGTGGCTATATCGATTTATTTTCCTCTCCTGTGACACTTTTGACAATCTATTTCCCTTACATCTCCTTTATAAATCAGCCATCTACCATCTATTTGATGAATATTAATTATAAACATTTTCTTCTGCATTGTTTACATCACGCATTGCCATTAAAACAGGATCAAATGTCATTATTTGTTTTCATTAAAGATCGAAGTGCAAAAACAATTCGTGCTCAAGTTGAATGCAAAAAGCTATAGAACTCAAGGCCTTATAGTTCTGCCTCTCAAATAAATTGAATAAAATTATATAAATAAATTTTTGAAGAACCTCATCAAAACTCTCTCAATAAAGAGAAGTTTTCGTGTTGCTAATTTAAGTTTTGTGGGAATCGATTCAATTAACGATAAATATTAGATGCACATCATCATCATCATTAATGTAGCTATGTACGTGTTTATAGGTGTGAACTTGTATCTTGGAAATTTTTCATTTTATTAGCTTCGACCTTCAATATGAGAAATTGTTCAATTGTTTTTAAAAACTTTGCTTTAGTAATGTTCAATTGGAAAATTTGTTGAGCTTTAATAACATATTGTAGATTTTAATTATTTCATAAAATACATACTTAGTGCTTAATTGAGTGGAAACAAACTTTTTGTTATTCAAGAAATCTTTTTTTTTATAAATTCAATAATTTCATGTACGATTAAATCAGACAGCAAATTAAGTCAGTTTGATAGTGATGAAAATCAAATGATTTGATTTGAATAAAATCACCAGCTAATTTGAATGTCATTTGACTTTTTATGGCATTCATGTTTAGAGTGACTCTGAGAGAGCAAAGAAGAAAAAAAAGTCACTGCATTTATGCACCTGATTTGCATTAACTCGAGATTAATTTAAACGTGATTTAATTTCTCATGTTAGTAAGGCTTTATACAAATAAACACTTTAACAAGAAGATATCTCATGGATATTCATGAGTTCCTCTTAAGAAAATGGTTTTGTGTCCAATTTAAATTCATTTTATTGATACTTCATTAGAACTAAATTTCCATTGAGATGGTTTTGTTCATGAATTGCTGTAAAATTTCTTGATTGATTCACATAAATTTTGGAAATTGTTCGAGTTTTGAAATCGTTTTTGACTAAGCAGATTTAATGGTGAGTTTTTTGGATGATGAGTCAATTTGTGTTTGGATTGGGCAAGCAGTTTGATAATTTTAATTTGGATGAGCTGAATTAAGTGAAAACTTAGTTGAATTCAGCAATATTGAGTAAAATTGAACTGAATTAGATGCAATTGAGTTAAATTCAAAAGCTACAAGTGTGATAAAGCTAGAATCCAAAGTCAATGTTCTTAAACAGTCATTTAAATCTTCTGAATCTAAAATCATCTTCAAATCTTCAACTTCTTTTAATTGCAAACAATAATATTGAATGACCCATATAAGATCTCATGTCTCTGTCCAGATACATAAGCTAAAGTATTGAAAAATTATTTTATAGCAAACTGACTTTGTTGTATATAATTGTATGTTAAATAAAGCATACATATACGCGTTTATTTTATTATATTGTTTGCATTTTTAATTTATTCATTGGAAATAATTTTTATTCATATTAGAATTTTTAATTTTATTTATTGTATCTTCTAAATGAGCTTAATGTTGTATTGTGTTGTCTGAACATGTGTATAAAAGTATATATCTACAGAGATTTATTTATTGTGCTGCATTACGTAATGATGATGATGATGGTCATTGAAATGAATATACTTATATGTAGATACATATATAGAGAGGAAAAAAAGTGAATCGCAATGTGCGGGAAGATAATTTCTATAGATAGAGTAGAAACATTTGCATATAACTATGAATATCATTGATCCACATCTTTATTATGCACCGTGGAAATTCATCTATCTTTTTAACGCTTCGCTTAATGATTTTTTAAATATTTTTTTTTTCAATTTCTCTCTCTCTCGGAAGTTTTTATTGATTTCTTTCATTAAATTCAATTAAATGAGATTAAATGACACAGTAATAAAGTTGAGCATTATTAAATTAAGCAGCGAGTGCAACTGAGGGCTAAAGTGCGTGTCGCTATAAAAAAATATGTCCGTTGATTTAATGGACTTGCTGACACAAAATTGTAAATCAAAATCAAACGTAAAAGCTCGGTAAACTTCAACAATTGTGCGTCCATAATATGCGTTTCATATTTAATCATAATAAATACTGCTGTATAAAATTCACACGGATATTTGGAAAATAAAAGAATTTACTTTGACTTGAGTCACATCGATAAGTCAACAAAAAAGATTATTAATTGTGCTCAATTCGGGTGGGTGGCAAAATGCTTAATAAACAAACAGAAAATGGCGAAAGTTTAACTTTTTATGGTCGTGATTTCTTTGATTCTTTCTCACCGATAACCTCATCAGTATATAAGCAATACTTTTCCTTTTTCCATGGAAAAACTATACAAGTCATAGTCATACGATAATGAAAAATAAATTCGCTAAAATGGCATTGAAGCTTTGAGTTTGAGTTTGCCATTAAATTTCACTCATTTTTCCGCCTTCACTTTGTACATGTGCGCCCTTCGCGTCACTAATATGTATAGGGAATTTATGGAATGAAAAATCTTTTGTTATCAGGCGATTCCTTCTCTTATTTCTTGCTGTGCTGCGTTTTTTACGACCGTACAACAGCAACAGCAAGAAGGTAATTAAAAAATATACATCAGGAAAGTTAGGAATGGAGAGAGAGAGGAGGTCAACGATAAAAATAATAGAACAATAAACTATAAATGTTATAAGCATAACAACAACAATAGTTTCAACCAATAAAAAAAGGTTTAAAGATTTGTTGTAAAATGAATTTGTGGTTTTAGGCGCATTTTCCGTTAGTGAAGGTAATGTAAAGGGTTTTGGAAGCTTCATTTTGTGATTGACATTGAGTTTTTGCAATTTTTGAAGCTATTGAAAAATCAAATTAATGCAGGGGTCATTCACTTATGACGTCCAGGGGGAAGGAGGGGACAGCAAGTAAAGAACAATAGAAACTCCTATTATTTTTTGAAAAATGACCGTTAATTTCGGACGTCATTAGTGAACGATCCCACAGTAGTTTGTAGAGTTCATAATATTTCATTGAACACAATTGGACCCACAAATGTGAGTTTTAAAATCTCTTTCTATAATTTTAACATTTAAAAAAATTCCTAACCTCAAAAAAGTATTTTGAAATCTCCACAAACATATACTCAACCCCCCTCACCTCTCACGGAAAATGCTCCAAATAGAAAAAAAAGAAACACAAAACAAATCGTAAAAAAAAATTAACGTGAGACGTAATGGAAATGATAGATTGCGCGAAGAAAAGCGAAACATAAGGAACAACAACAATAACAAAAAAAAAGTAAGAAATATATCACATTATATATGTGTGTACACATAAAATAAAACTAAAATTGAAAAAAAAAGAAAAAGAAAAAAATAAGAAAATTTCCCCACACCGTGTCTCAATCTTACCGGCACTTGTTCTCGCTTTTGTGCGTTGCGGTTTATGGTTCGATGATGGACTATTGTTATTCATCGTCGATGAGCGTATATTTGATTGAAATACGCTGTTGGTCGATTGTGGATAGCCGAGATAGCTATTTTCATAGGCACCATAAGAAGCGGCAGCGGCAACAGCAGCAGCTTGATGTGATGAATCAAAAAGGCTGCTGCCGTGTTGTTGTTGCTGTTGCTGCTGTTGTTGGGATTGTTGATGATGGTGGTGTGCAGTTGTCGTATTATTACTACTACTAGTATTATTATTATTATGTACGGACGAGTGATTATTTAAATTTTGACTATTTGAATTGCTATTTGTATTATTATTGCTAGTATTTTGACTATTGCTAGTACTCTGCGATTGATGCGTACCTTCACGTTGTTTTGGCGCTTGTTGTGATTGTTGTGCATTGTTATTACCATTGCCAGCATTACCTGACAGGCACGGTTTAACGTCGAGACCACAACTTGAGCTAGTATCAGTTCCATTTAATTGGCTATTTGTGGATGCTTGAGCTTGATGCATAAATACATTTACAGCGGCTTGATAGTCCGTCGGTCCTGTTTGTACTGAATCAGGTGTTGAATCCTTCGGTGGTGTTGGTGGAAATGAAAATAAATGTTGCCCACTACTACTCTGACTATTTTGAATTTGTCCAACTAATTTACTATCCTGTGGATCTTGCGGACATGCAAATGGTGATCCCCACGCACCGCTGGATGATAAAGGCTTTGGCGGATCACTCAACGACCACGGTAGTGGTGCATGAAAATGTGGTCTGCATACTTGTGGCGTTGAAACGTGTGATGAGGGCATTCTTGATGCTGCAAAGAAGGAAATACAAAAAAATGATAAATTATATAAAATTGACGTCTATAAAACACACGAGGATTAACATTTCTTGCAGTTGCAGTTAATAAAATCAATCGCAAGCAATTCATTCATATGTGGACGATCGCGATCGTATAATTTTGAATTATCATTCATTATTTTTCCACTGACTTGCTTGCTGCAACTACTACTACAGGGTGTATAATCTCAAATATATTCTCTTTTCGAACATAATTCATCAATTTTTCACAATAACAGTCTTTAACTTTCTTGCCTAATCGAGGTGAAATTATAAAATATTGTTTTATGGATTCCATAAAGAATTTTATTCCTTTTACTTTTTATGCTCTCTTGCATCGCATCCCAAAAAAAAACAAAGTAAGAGAAAAGACCAAACCCATCCCATACATCACATTCATCGCCCAAGGGACATTTTTCATGCTCCTTTGGAAATGAAAGAGAAAAGAGACGAGAGGAAAAAGCTTGTAGAAGCTCATGTAGTTGAATAATTCAATAAAGAGATGATAACTTCTTCTTATTTGATTGTTGTTAAGGAATTTTGCTGGGCTTTGACTTGAAAAAGAAGATTTTTTACCATAAATGACACTGAATATATTATGGAAATTATTATTCAATATTTTTAAGGTTTGTTGTGAGGAATTTAGCGATATTGATCTGTATTTAGTTTGATTTGATAATGTTTGAGGAGAAATTTAGTTTTTGCTAGCTGAATTCAGTGTATTTATGCTAGTTTTCAGCTGAAGACAGCTATTTAAGTTAGTTTAAAGCTGAATTCAGTTCTATGTGCTGAATTTAGCTAAAAACATCACATTTAAATTCAATTCAGCCCAACAAGTAAACAAATCTTCCAGTTGCACATTTATCTCATTATTCATGCATTACTGCATCATTAAAATGCAACAATTTAATTTCCAGATCAGTTCTACGTACATAAACATCCTTTTAGAATATCTAGAAGATCTAATCAATTAGATCATTACAACAGAAATAATTCCATCGTCTAAAGTACACAAAATGAACATAATCATACACAAATAATACAGTAGATAAGCACCATCAAACAAGTTTATGTTGTAATATTATTTTTCGTCTTTATCTATCCATCAAGAAGATCTTATAGTCTTGGGAGATTTATATATAGAGAGTGTTATTAAAATATATTGCCATAAGTATGTATTTTGTTGCTTAATCTTATCACAATTATCTCCTTTTCATTTCATACCGTATAGAACATATTATGTTGTGCCCATATGTAAGCAAGCAAGTTTTGATCAATCTCTAAGCTCTTTTTATGCCACACAAAATGAGATAAAGGGGTCATTTGTGAGTGATGTCCAGTAATTGAGAATGATTGAGGTTGGAGGTCTATAGCTATAGACACTAAATTGAAAATATTTTGAAATTATTTGATAAGCCCCGTCACTAATGGAATAACCCCACAAATAAAAAACTTTTTAAATTGTTTATAGATATTGTCATATTTTGTAGCCATACACTGACTGCACAGAATAAGAATTTCACAGGCAAACACAATTTACATTAACGGACTCACATTACCAGGTGTCTCTCCTTCTCCTTATTCTGTACGCGCGCAAATATTCACGATGTTAGCAAGTCAGGTTCAATGACTCATCGGTGGAAAAAAAGAGAGGAATAAAAATATTTAAACCCTTTTATGACTACAAACGACGACGACGACGATGATGATGATGAGACCAAAGGGGCCAATTATTTCTTTCTATGGCAAAAAAACCTCATTTTTTTGCGAACCGTATCAGTTCGTGTCATAAATTTCGATACAATTTTTTTATATAGCCGACAACTACTTGTGTGCTTATACCCAAAGATTTTCGATTGATCATGAGAAAGTGAGAGAAAGAAGCAGAAATGATGGATATTCGATCATAAGAATTTTGATATTGATGCAACTGAAGAAAATTATTAATATAATATAATAATGATAATAACGATATAATAACACATTCCACACATTACAATATCCCTCGTGGTGGATATGGATACGAATTGGAAGTAGATATTATAAATCTCTATAAAGCCAGAAGTAAAATAACACTATAAGAGGCATACACACAAAAATATATATACGTATGAAGGAAATCACATCCCGTACACGTAAATATTATTAAAGGAGAAGCAAGAGAAGAAGTTACCAACAGGCAGCTGGGAAGTGATTTATGGACATAAAGTTGGCATTGACTTTGATTGTAGTTCACATGATGTATACACTTATGTTATGTTATGTTACTTATTTTACAACAATTTGCTTGCTTACCAGCTTAAAAAACATTTGTAATCATCTTTCTCATGCTAACAAAAATAAGATTACATTTAATTGAAATATAAACCTACAATAAACAATGCAATTGCTTTTATGATGTACTGCAGTTAGTGTTGTAGATGTAATGTGCTGTACATGTGCATTTGATAATGTAACGAAGAAAAATCGAGACTGGTTGTGAAATTGTTGCAAAATTTATGTTCAAAGTGCTGTTTTGGCTTGGAATAGTTTTAGAAATGTAACGGTTATTTCTAATTTAAATATTGAACGACTTTTAGCAATTTGATTTTTTCGAAAGTCAACAGTTTTTTAATGAAAATGCAAATCTACAAACTATTCAAACTTCTATGATTTACATCTCATACATCCAAACCAAAGCTACCATTACAGCCTACTTGTGCTGCCGTTTGTGCCCATTGCAATTGTGAAGAGATTAAATCTCGTTAGATATCTTAATTATTTTTCATTTTCTTCCTTTTTTTGCCTTTCGGTGCTGCTTTTGTAAAGTTACAATATGTACATCCAGCCAGATTTTGGGATTTCCGATATTATTATTTGATTTGAAAATTACTATTCACCATTCGACTGAACGTGTTCGGCTGATTCCATTCTATATAACATTCTTCCACTGACTTCACAATAAATAAAATGAGATCTCGATAAGACATAATCTACTGGAAAATCTCTTTCTCTTTCCAATTTCTTTTTCATGTGTTGCTGCCGAAAATTGCTGGTTGTTTTTCCTTTCTCTGACTTTCTGTTCAGCATACATTCACAATTATGTATTCAATTAATCAATTTGTACAAAATTTCTTGTGGCTTTATTTCTTTCTTTGAGATTACGTTAAATTATTGCTTCAATTTGGATGAATTAAGAGTATTTTGTTGATTGAGGATATGATTAAGAATTGGCAGTTATTTGATTAATTTTAGTGGATTTTTTGGGAATTGCGGGAATTACGATATTTTCCATAGATTAGATTTATTTTCAATTTGATCAATTGAATTTCGAAATTTTCGAAATAAACAAATGAATTTCAAATCAGTTTCGAATATTTTCGAAATAAACAAATCAATTTCGAATATTTTCGAAATAAACAAATCAATTTCGAATATTTTCGAAATAAACAAATCAATTTCGAAATTTTCGAAATAAACAAATCATTTTCGAATATTTTCGAAATAAACAAATCAATTTCGAATACTTTCGAAATAAACAAATCAATTTCGAATATTTTTGAAATAAACAAATCAATTTCGAATATTTTTGAAATAAACAAATCAATTTCGAATATTTTCGAAATAAACAAATCAATTTCGAATATTTTCGAAATAAATAAATCAATTTCGAAATAAACAAATCAATTTCGAACATTTTTGAAATAAACAAATCAATTTCGAATATTTTCGAAATAAACAAATCAATTTTGAATATTTTTGAAATAAACAAATCAATTTCGAATATTTTCTAAATAAACAAATCAATTTCGAATATTTTCGAAATAAACAAATCAATTTCGAATATTTTCGAAATAAACAAATCAATTTCGAATATTTTTGAAATGAACAAATCTTAAATAAATTTTAAAACTCAAAAATTGACAATAAAGATCAAAATTCCTCAACTCTGTTAAAAGAATTTCAACACTTCTCGTGGAGTCATTCATCTTAAGCCATCTGGTCAATCAGTGCATATAATTCAAGCCATAAAATCTTCACCTAAATACATACTATCCCGAGATTTAATTTCGATAATTGTAGTGCAGATAGTGTAGATAGCTGTTATTACTACCTTACGTTCTTGTATTTGGAAGCAATAAAAGCGAGATGATAAGACATGGGCAACAAAAAAAAAATATCCAACGATAACTGTTGATAATTTCATTACGTATATTGGTTTATTGTCTTGAAAGAAAATATTTTTCTTATGTCAGTAACAAGCCACAACTTGCATGCGCCTCAATTACATATTACTGAATCATATCTCATTCTTGTGTGTATGATATATCCATAAAACTATAAATTAAGTTGCAATTGGCAAGCCAAATAATACATAATTTTACTTCTTTTTTTCTCATGCTCCTTCCTCTTTTTCCCTTCTTGCTCAATTGATCATTGCAATTATGATAATTTTAATGAGTTAAACACATCTTAATTTTATCTTGTGCTGCAAAAATATTTTTTCATGCATTCGAGAGATCCGAGAGAAGAGGAAAAAAAATATTAAAAAGTAAATGAACGTTGACTCAATTTTTCTTTCTCTTAGTTCACACCTTCTTATCAGATAAATGTCCATGCATTAATAATTTCTTGTTCTTTGTGAAGCCGCTATCGGTTACGATTTTCAGTCTCTTTTGCACGAGCTCCCTTAGAATGAAGGTTTGTTGGAAGTTTATTATATTCAACACATCCAGCTGAATTCAGCAAATCTAGCTCAATTCAGCAAAACCAGTAAATCAAGCTGAATTCAGCAAATCCAGCAAATCTAGCTGAATTCAGCTAGTTCAACAAATCAAGTTGAATTCAGCTAGTTTAGAAACTTTAGCTGGAGTATCATTATTTATCTAATAACGCTCACAAAATGCATCAAAGACAAGACTTGAAATTCAACCAAAAATCCATCAAAGGGTCTGAATGAAAAATAAATTTGCAATATAAAGAAATTAGCGATCC